ATTTATTGTGTATTAATGTTGGGATAGAAGGTATCACACATGTTGTAAGTCAAGTCTATAAGTTCACATCCAAGCTAGGTAAGCGACATTGGGAAGCAGTGAAGTGGATCTTTAGGTACCTAAAAGGAACAATAAGGCATGGTATTATGTTTGACAGACAACAAAGTGATCCTTCAATTGTGGGATTTGTTGATTCAAATTATGCTGGTAGCTTGGATGACAGGAGGTCTATGATAGGATATGTTTTTACTCTTGTAGAAGGACCTATTTATTGAAAATCAACAGTTCAATCAATTGTGGCAATGTCAACAACTAAAGTAGAATACATGACAGTAGTAAAGGCTAGTAAAAAGGTCTTATGACTTACAAGGCTAGTAAAAGATCTAGGCATTAAGTAAGGTGGAGTTCAATTGCACTATGATAGCCAAAGTGTTATCTACTTAGCGAAGAACCAGTGTATCATCATTGAACTAAGCATATTGATGTGAGGTTCCACAAGAGTAGGAAGTTGATGACATTTGGTCAAATATTGCTTAAGAAGGTTCATACTTTTGAGAATGCAACTAATATGTTAATAAATCCAGTAACCACTAACAAGTTCAAACATTGTTTGGACTTGTTAAACATTTCTCATTGCTAAAAACAAAAGTAAACCCCAACCTAGGAGGCATATGAGAAAGTCTTGTTTCCAACTCCTAAAAGGCTTATATTCACCAAGGTGGAGATTGTTGTGCATGGTAGTACATAGCTCATATTCATAATGAGAAAGCAAATGTTGGAGAAGAGTGGTTTGGGATTTGACCTTCTATTTGTTGGGTTACAAACTAATTGGGTTGGAGTGCAAGGCTATGCTCTCATAGTTTAATATGCATTTTAAATAAATTCAAAGATAAGGACTGGAGTTTTATTTCAACCGTGTGTCGCTAGTCCAACTGCAAAACCAGTCATTTTTAGCAGTTCAAATCAAGTCAATTGCATAAATGATCTTAAACAAGGTACAGATTAGTTGTGTTATCGAATTTTAGTATGACCGATCAAGGTAGGATCAATTTTAAAACTATGGTCATAACAAATGACAGCTATGTGAGAAATGTGATGACTACAAAATTGACCAATTTTCACCGGATCAAATCGGATCGATTACATAAACAATCCAAAACAAGGCTTAGATCGGTTGTGTTACTAGGTCTCGATCTAACTTATTTAAGGATTGGCTGATTTTTAAAACTGGTCATAATAAATGATAGTTACATGAGAAATGTGATGGAATGAAGAAAAGTTAACACAAACAAATACTTTGATGTGGCAACGTGTAAGATTAGTTTTATAGTGACATAACAATATAATAGTTTGTAGCTTAGATTTTTATATTATATTGATTGATTGATTTATTGTGGTCATAGAAAATGACAATTACATGGAAATATGAGGGGGTGAGGAAAGTTTGACACATAAACAAATACACTGGTGTAATAATGTGTAAGATTAGTTTTATAGCGACCTGTCAATGTAACAATGCATATATAGCTCTGGTTTTATATTATAAATAGCTCATCTTTTTATATTATATTGATAGATTGATTGATTACATTCATAACAAACTACAATTACATGAAAAATTCAAGGGGTGAGGAAAGTTTGACATATAAGCAAATACGTTGATTTGGCAACATGTAAGATTAGTTTTATAACAATAGATCAACGTAATAACGTGTAACTTTGCTTTTAAATTATAAATATATTGATTGATTAAGGTCAATGTAATAACATGTAGCTTTGCTTTTATATTATAAATAGCTTAGCTTTTTATATTATAATGATTAATTGATTGATTGGTTGATTGTGATCATAATTATTGACAGTTACATGAGAAGTGTAGGGGGTTGGGGAAAGCTTAACGCAAACAAATATGTTGATGGGACAATGTGTAAGATTAGTTTCTGTTAGAGCTACTCGGAAAATATACGAGTCGAAAGTTACATCATGAAGTTACTCGAAAGAAAGACAAGAAATTAGCACCTACTAGGAACATACTTCAAGCCTTATTTGTTATGCTTGGGATATGGTCGAATAGAAATCAGTCGAAAAAAGAGTGCTCGAAAAAATGGAAAGAGGTTACTAGAGGTTTGTAACAGTTAAAGTGCATCAGGGCGGTTATTAAAGGTCGAATTGAGAAAATGAAGACGTGGGACAAACGGTTACGAGAAGTTATAATTTGAGTCACGTAGTGAGCTTAGTGGGTAGCGGTTATGCACCAATTACGCACACGAACAGCATCAACCACCCTCAATCAGCTCTATAAATTTGGAAAGCGTAGTGATTTAGAGGGCCGGAAAAATCATACTTGAAACTCTGAAGCACTCACCGCTTACGCATATGGCTTTCGTGCAAGGAATTACTAGGTATGACCGTTTCTTGGCCGTATTTCTTTTCTCTTTTTAGGATTAGGATTAGTGTAGTTCTCTTTTCTTCTTTTTCTCTTTTCTTCTCTTAACCACGTAGTGAGTTTTAATATTGTAACTCTTGATAATTATTGCGAATATATCTATTGTTCATTCTGTTTATTTGAGGATTTACTTTCACGAACATTATTGCTTGTTAATCATAGATGAACATTTAGAAACAAGTAATTATTAAATCTTTCTGCTCTGTCTCTTATTCTTCAAATATTTAAAAGCATCAAACACCTAACTTGAAACGCCATTCGTGTTAGTTCGAATAAAAAGAATTCATAAACTAATTCCACCGTAAACAGTTTCATAGTAACGTTTCAATGTAATAATGTGACTCTACTTTTATATTATAAATAGATGTATCAATTAAAATAAAATTATTATAATATATGTCATAGAATTTGTTTGGATAAGTTTTCTTAGAACCACTTCTAGAAGAGAAAAAAAATGAAGAAAAATTGAAATAAATTTCTCTATAAGTTAAAACTAGTTTATGCATTAGTTAAAAATAAGATTTTAGATAAGCTAATAGCATAAAAATTTTACAACTTAGCTTATGCGTAATCTAATTTTAATTTATAGAAAAGTTTATCTCAATTTTTTCTTCTTATTTTTGTTCTTCTTATTTTTTTTATACTATAAGTGTTTCTAGAAAAATTTACTCAACATATTCATAAATACTCATTTATCCTATATGGAAAAATTCTTGTAATAAATATATCCTAAAAAGAATCATACCTATTTTTGTGATATTATAAATAGGAAATTAAGATATATTACGCTGAATTCATCATATAATATTGCAAAAAACACAATGGAATATGATAAATGAGATTGTAAGTAATTTTTTTTATCATATAACAATGTAAAAGACCCTTTCATTAAGGAATTTTCTATGTTAGAAATTTTTGTGTCTTCTGTGCATTTGTAGTTCTTGTTTTTGCTTTATTTTGCTTGTTTCTCGTTGATTCCTACAATTTAGAAGATTTTATTTTCACTACTTATTTCTTTGTTATTGTGTTGAGCTTTCTCCCATTATAGTCTCATCACAGCTCTTTGGTTAAAAGGTTTATACTACTTACTTGAATGATGAAGGCACATATAGATCCCAAGTCTAATGAAGAATGAAATTTTGGACATCAACAAGGGTGTGACTTTATGAAGCAATTTGTGGATGATAATGTTTATAATCTTGTTGCTAATGAGACACATGCAAGAACATTGTGGGATAAGCTTAAGTCTTTGTATACTTCCAAATCAAGGAATAATAAATTGTACTTATTGAATAACTTTTTGAAGTTGAAATAGAAGGAGAAACTCCTAATATAGATTACTTGAGTGAATTTCAAGGGTGTTTTGATCAATTACCTAGAGTGGGTATTAAATTTAATGCATATTTATTGAGATTGTTCCTATTATTAACTCTTTAATTCTTAGGAGGCATTTTTGGTTTCCATGATAAATGTTGCCCCCTAACAATGATGTTTGTTTGCAAATGTAAAATAGTGATGCTCTCAGTGAGGAGATGAGATGGAAGACACAAGATATTTCATCTAATTTATATGTTCTTGTTACTAAAAACAAAGAAAAGTCAGAAGAAAGGACATAAAGGTGTTAGAGACAAAAGTAAGAACAAATCTAAGTCTCAATACAAGAATGTGAAATGTCACTAGTGTCACAAAACAGGAGAAATACAAAAGAATTTTTTTATGTGAAAGAGGAGAATAAGGACAACGGTAAATAGAAAGAGAGGAATCTAATGACAATGATTGTGTGGCTATTGCTACTAGTGATGATCTTATTATTCTTTGTGACCTTGATTCAATTAATCTTGTATCCGATGAGAGCATGTGAATAATTAATAGTGATACTACATTACATATTACATCTAGGAAAGAGTTCTCTACATCTTACATTATAAGTGATTTTAGAGTTTTGAAAATAAGTAATGATGTGTCCAAGGTGATTGATTTTGATTATGCTTATTTGCATATCAACGTGGGAATATAGTTGTTACTTAGAGGAGTCAAACATGCTCCATATGTCTATTTTAATTTAATTTTTGTGTATGTACTTGATGATGATAATTGTGATAACCATTTTGGTTATGGAAAGTGAAAGCTGATCAAAGCTAACTTGATTATGGCTAGAGGGGGAAAAAACTTCTAAGCTTTACAGGATGAAAGCTTTGGTTGTTAAATACCGTGTAAATGCCATGTATGTGATGGCCTCTTTGTGCCACGTAAGGCTTAGTCATATCACTTAAAAGGGTTTGAACTATTTAGCTAAAAAAGATGTTTCCCCAGTTCATATAAGAAGACATAGCATTACCATTTTGATTTGAATGTAAGCAAGCAAGGAAGAGTATAGTTTAGAGAGCAGCTCTAGAGTGTGCTTTATTCTCTATTTTGAATGAACTGAAGGGCATATTTGTTATTTTTCCACCCTTCCCATACTCAATAATTCATAGAATCAATCCTATTCAGAATCCCCCATACTCAATAATTCATAGAATCAATCCTATTTAGAATCCCCCATACTCCATAATTCATAGAATCAATCCTATATATCCAGAATCCTTAATTACAAGTTCGTAGCATATGTAGCCACTCCTTACATTATCCATGTGATCAAGAATCGAGGTCATTTAAATAGTTTATGAGCTCGTCCTTGATGTAATATCAATATTTTAAAAAAAAATTAACATGGAAATAAAAATCTAATCTAGAAATGAAGAGACATTGTAGAAAATATGCAGGGAAAAAAATCCTGTACAATCAGTCGATTAATACCCTTTACAAATCACATTACAAAACAAGTGTATAATAATCTTAAAATCTAAATATTTATACGAAAATCAATAACCAGCTGTACAAAACTTGGTCACTGCAACTGCTGCCATGTAACCCCTTAATTCTCATCAACACAAGCTTCAAAAGAAAAACACAGTTAAGATGACATTCCTTCAAATTACTCGGGGCCCTCAGAAAGCAAAGGAAAAGGAAAATGGAAAATTAACCATGCTGATTATGAAAAATAAAAAACTAAATTATACTTTTGGTCTCATTATTTTTAAGATTCAATTTAATCTCACTATTTTTAAATAGTTCAATTTGGTCCTTTTATTTTTTTTAAATGTTTAATGCGATCTTTCCATCCAAATTGAAATTCGATGGAAGGACAACATTAAGTATCGTTTAAAAATTAAATGACTAAATTAAATCATTTAAAATGTTCAATTGAATCCTACTATTTTTAAAATGTTCAATTTAATCATCTAATTTTCAAAAAATTATGTTTGATGGTGTCCTTTCACCTAATTTTATTAACGTCATTAACGTTAATTTGGATAAAATGGCAACATTGAACATTTTTTGAAAATTAAAGGACCAAATTGAAATAAGTAGAGAAATTAAAAATATAATTAAACCAAAATAAAATTATTGATAATGAAGTAGGAAAGCTAAAATGTACATATTGAAATTAAAAGCAAAGGCCAGTGTTCTCTTTTTATATATAAGAAATAAAAAATACATTCATTATCTTTCTCTAGCAAAGAGGAAGAATACGCACATATGTATATAGTCCAAGATCAATTGTGTAGAAGCCTTTTATATAAAATTGAATTAGTAATAAATATACAATTCCTTACTCACAGCAAAATAATTCTGAGATGATCAGATCTTCCAGAAAAGTTAGAGCATCATGCAAAGGAGTACTTAGTATAGAATTTCCCATCCACAAAAGAACAAAAATAAAATATTTCAATTTTGAAATCTACTAAACCAAATAGGCAAATACTGATATTAAATTCAACCCTAAACAATATAAATCATCATAAAGCCATGAAAGTAAATTTTTCTTAGATCTAAACCAAGAAAAGAAGAAAGAAAGTGAGAGGGCCAAACAGAATAATATGCTGATATTTATTATTAATCTTGGATAGTGGCGTTGTGCAGCCTTACCCAAAACATGCCATAGCAATATAGTGGATCACCATGAAAGATTAGGGTTTCTGAAACCTCAGGACTTATTCACTTGAAATTTAGGACACATACATCATTAAGACCGACATAACTAAACCAAACAGAGGATGTGGCAAAGTGAAACTCCAAAATAGAGGTTGCAGCTTCTTAAACAAAGGCTGAACCATTCAAAAAACAAAGACTGAAATACAAAAAAAAAGTTGCATGCAAAACAGATCACAAAGCTGTGGTGCCAGAGTCAAGAAGCTGGCTGGTGCGAAAATAAAACCTATGCAGTATTAATTCAGACTCCACAGATCATAAGCATTTTCAATTGAACTAAAACAAGAGTGTGGGAGAGAAAACAGGGACAGAAGGGGACACAAGTCAATCAAAGGGTGTGAGAAATGTCTCTTTGACCCTCACTGAAGAAGCTTATCAATGGTTTCTTTCTCCAAAGTATATGCATATTTCAAGATTACATAAGTTTCAATAGTTCTCCCAACAAAATATCACAAAGGTCATTTGACTTTTATGGCCAGAAAAAGTTCTAAAGCACAGAAACATTGTTTAACTATTAAGTTCTCAAATTTAAACGCCACGTTGATGTTATCCCTTCCTACAACCCAATTTAGGCAATCCAAGAATTAATCCTTTTTCTCTTTCTTATCTAACTTCCAGCTCAATCATAAAAGGATGAACCAACAAGAAAACACAAAATTAAAATCATAAGAACTTCTTCCTTGTGTAATCAACACTGACCAATTTCCTTATAGCTAGAACAATTATACATTGTTGATTCCAACACCAAATAACCCAAATAAATATCCCCAACACAAATCACACCCAATTGAGAAAATTTTACAAAAAACAACACCTTTATCTCTGTCTCTTGTATAAATTCCTGCCCAACTGAACACACATAAGCCAATGCCAAAAACCAAAACAAACTTCATTAAGTAATTAAAATGAAGAAACATGAAGGCAGTTCTTTAGATGTTTTAGGAACAGTTTTTAAATCAGAATTTAAATTGTGTCAAAGGTCAAAATAGCTTACCATGCTATAACTTCAATTCTAATAAAAGAATAACATGACAAATCACTTAAGAAATTACATCTAAGTCTCATCATAATTTTTTAAGGACAAATCTTAGATACAATACAGTAGGTGGTGTTGGTGGTGTTCTCCATGGTTCTAAATTGCAAACCCCACCACCTATTGCAACCGCAATATTGTCCTTGTGGAGCTACTAGCAACCGCAACACTCTTCTATTCCATTTCTTTTTTGCAAAATAAACAAAGGTTCAAACTTCAATCTTCTACTCTAATAGATGGGATCACGTGAAATGTTGGGGGAGGGAGGCAATTAATGGTTGTTGGTTGAAGTGCAGGGAGGTTGCTTGATGCATTCTAGGCAAGGCGAAAAGAAGTGTGGAGTGAAAATTTGTGAAAGAAAGGTTAGATTGATTTTTATTGTTATAGAATTATTTTTTATATTTGGTATAATAATTTTACGCCACAATGATCACCATCCGCATCACACCGTGAACAATAATCACAACCGCAATTTAGAACTATGTTGTCTAATCAGAATTAGAGTTTTATCTACATTTATGCATATTATCGAAGTAAAACTTCCGATTCTAATCAGAATTCATCACCAACCGTTAATATGGTATTGCATCTAAGTTGTATCAAAATCTAAATTCACCGATTCCATTTCAGCCATAACAACAGCACTAGACTTACAAAACGTCAAACCATCATCTTTCAACACCTACCAACCTTGACAAAAATTCCCTCCAAAAGAACACTTTTCACAAGCAACCCATAAACCCAATTGAACCCAAAACCAATTCCCTCATATCAATCAAACATCCAAACAAACAAAAGAGCGAAAATTTAAACCAAGAACCATAAGGGGCTAAAGAGTTACCACCACAGCAAAAGCAACAGTAGCAGCAAGAGAGAAGCAACAACAGCTCATGGAAGAGTGAAGCGACCGACCCAGTTTCACAATTGAGGAGGTTGGGTGCGGCGCCGCTGTTCTGATCCTGGTTTTCGTTTTCCAGAAGCTTCTGCTCCGTCGAGGATTTTTGGTCCTTTTGCATCTGCATTCTCTGGTAGTTCCATTCGAGCCTTTTGAGGTACGAAAGCTTGAAGGAATCTCTGAGATTCTTTGTTGGCCAGAGATGCATGTCTCGATTACGTTGCTACTTGCTTTGGTAGAGTAAATTAACGGAAAATGGGGTTTGGGTTATGAGAATTGGTATGTATATGATCGACTTGTTTGGAGTGAAGGTTGAGTTCAGGATCGAAGAGTACAATAGTGTCTAAGAGATAACACAGAAAATGACGTGAATACCCCAAAAAAAATATCTTTTATTGATTTATGTTTTAGATATTTGTTTTTATTTTTTAAGACTAAATTTTATTTTTATCCAATATTATTTTTAAAATTTATTTTAATATTTTATTCATGAAAATATTTGTTTTAATATTTTATATGTTATATTTAAAATTAATTTGATCCTTTTATAAAAAAAAAGTGATTATTTTTAATTTTATGACACGTTTTTGAATTAATTTTTAATTTATTCAAGATCTAAAACTTATAATGATATATTTATTTATTTAAAAATTATAAAATTTAATTATCATTTAAATTCAACAAAATGGATAAATATAATAAAAATTATGTGTAAAATATATCAAATAAATAGCTAAAATATAATATAAAATTTAAATTTTTTTATTTTTTTGATTTCTTTTTGGACATATGTTTATGAGATTTTTATTATATTTATAACTCTTCTTTTTTTTAACTTTAATTGTGTTCAATAGTTTTTATATAAGTTGAGAAAATTTCAAGTTTTGAATTAGTTAAAAGAAAAATTCAAAATAGTGTCTCAAAATTGTAAATAATCATTGTTGGCTTAAATATGTTTTTAATTTCTCAAATTTAGAATAAATTTATTTTTGATCTCTCAAATTTAAACTTTATATTTTTAGTCCCTGTAATTCTTTAAAATATTATTTTAATATTATTTTGTAAAATTATAGGGACAAAAAAGATTAGTTTTAAATTTGAAGAACTAAGTACATATTTAAGCCATCATTATTTCTGTAACGTAATAAGTATTTCAGAAGGCGATGGGTGATTTAGTAGCCTAGAACGGGTCGTTCTCAAACTGGAACAGACCGTTCCAAACTACTAAATTGGCCTATAAATCTTAGACTGGAACGGGCCGTTCCAAACATGGTTATTGTGAGTTACATTCAGCTCCAGAACAGGTCGTTCTGGTTTGGGAATGGGCAGTTCTAGACGTGCCAGAATGGGTCGTTCTGGTTTCAGAACGGGTGATTCTGCATGTGAATTTTACACATGATGAAGGAGCCCAGAACGGGCCGTTCTGGCTACTCCTGACCTCTATAAATAGGCATTGAGGAGGGGGAGAAAAGGAAAAACTTAGAGAGAGGTTTTAGGGAGAAGTTTTATAGAGAAGGACTCTAGGCCAGGAAGCTTGCTTTTGGAAGATTGAGGTTCCCGGGTTGAGCTTCGGAAGGAAATTTCGCTTCTTCTCAGCTCTTGGCAATGTTGAGCCAATCTTCAGGTTAAGGAAGCTTCATGTATTATTTTCCTTGAAAATGGTTAAGTTGTTGGGTGCGGATTGAGTTAAAGAGTTGGGTTTTGTTGTTTGAAAGAAAAGAGATGATTGATTTAAATCAATGGTTGCATGTAGTTGTTCTTGTGTTTTAGAAGTTGTTTATAACGTGGTTAAGTTGCTAAGTTTCCTGATGAAGATGAGTTGAGTAGTTATTGGCTTAAGTTGTTCATATGTTGTGTGTTGATAATATGTGAGATGATGTTAAAGTTGTTATACGTTGTGTATTTGGTGAAACTAAGTTGTTTTTATGTTGTTTATTGTTGAATTATTAATAAGTTGAGATTTATAAGTTGAAGTAGTTTATTGTTGTAAAAGTTGTTTAAAGTTGTATAAGTTGCCTATTGCTGTAAAGTTGTATAAGTTGTCTATTGTTGTAAAGTTGTATAAGTTTCCTATTATTGTAAAGTTGTATAAGTTGCCTATTGTTGTAAAGTTGTATAAGTTGCCTATTGTTGTAAAGTTGTAAAAGTTGCCTATTGTTGTAAAGTTGTAAAGCAGTCTATTGTTGTAAAGTTGAAAAGTTGGGGACAAATGGTGAAGATATATGTCCTATGTTGAGATACATAGTACTAGAAGATAAATTGAAAGTTGTTTTAAAGTTTAATCCCTTAGTACTGTGTGGGCGACATGGAAGTAATCAATCCATGTCATGATTGAATGACCAATTTGAGTAAGGTATCTAGGTAGAGATATAGTCTTTGACTAGGTACTGGAAGGTGCGTGGTACTGGAGGATAATGGGTGTGCTAACTCCATATGTGGATTGGTGATGCTGGCCAAGGTCGTGGTAGGCTCATACCCAAACCTTTCTGTCCTAACAGTAGTACTGGACCACCGAGTCTAAGTGGCACACCTGAGCAATCACCTATTTTTGTCTATACCTGGTTCTCTTCGGAGTTCCTAACAATGTCCTATACCCGATCTGGTTGAGATAGGTCAAACGCTAGATTCGGTAGGGTTTATGCCACCTAGACTGCTCAACCTCAGTTGTTAGAGATCTCCTAGTTGTATATGTGTGACGACGTATTAGTTGATGTTGCATGGGTTGTTGCATTCAAGTTGTATACAACGTTGTATGAATGAGTTGATAGTTGAGCTATTGTGATAAATACTATGTGATTGTGTTGTGATGAGTTGTTGATCACTAGGACTAGAGGAGAAGTTTTCAAAGCTGTTCATCTCATTGTGCAGATTGAGATAGTTGTGGTGCTCTGAAAGCCCAACTTGTTTAAAAACCCTCGTTGGAAAGTTGTCCCTTGGAGTGGATGATGTGTTATTCTCCTCTAGGACTTAGTTGGTCCCGTGTGTGGGCAAGGTCGAGGCACACGTGTATGAAGCGAACACGGTATAGGGGTCAGGCCGAGCTATACCGATTACAAGCGGTCAATTTGAATAAAGTGGGATGTGTTGAAAAAGTTGTTGCTAGTAGATGATATTCTATATCTATTGTTGTAGATGTTGTGTTGCTTTAAGTTGCAAGTTGAAAGTAGAACTTTATTACTGTTTATTATATGTTGATGCTATTTTTTTATGATTATTGTTGTGAGCTTATCCTAGCTTGTTTTTCCTATGTGGTTGGGACTGGGATGACCATACCTTGGTATGTGAGCAGATCAGGATTAGGTGTTCTGTTGGACTGGATGAGCTTCTTTTTTGTTGGGACTCGGGAGGAGGGTTGACGTTGTATTTAGTTGACTGGTAGCTTTCGACTACCTAGTTTTTGTGTAGGGTATTATTCCCTACTTTCAGTTATATATATTATGGGACTTTTTAGTTATGTATTCTAAATATATATAATTGTTTAGTAGTGAGATTTTATTTTACACTTGTATCTGAACACTATAGATAGTATGAGACCTAGCGGTTCGTTACAGTTTCAAAAGAATTATATCGACCCAATATTTTTTAGATAAAAGACCAAATAAATATTTTAAAAGATAAAAGATCAAAATGAATCTTAAAAAATAATAAAAAAAAATGAAGTAATTTAACCTTTTTTTTATTGAAAGGGATTTATGTTTTATATTTTTTATAAAATTGTAATTTTTGTGATGTTTAATTTTAATCCATACGAAAAAAATGGCTTTTATCTTATTTTATTTCATATGAAAAATGTCATTTTTAGTTCTCGAGATTTTCTTATTTATTTATTTTTACTATATTAATTTTAGTTAGTTTTAATGCTACCATGATTAATAAAATGATAAATATTAGTTAAAATAACAAATAATATTTTAAATTAACATAATTAGATTATTTTTAGGTGCATAATTTAATTAAGTAATAGATTTATTATTTATGTCATTATATAAATGAGGAGGGGTTCGTATATTCTAGGATCAAGTTTACCTATATTTACTCTATTTAATAACTCATATTATATATCAAATTTCAACGATCCAACTGTTGAATTTAAAGTTCTTAATGCATAAATCAAGTCTACAATTTTAAAAAAAAATTGAAAACTATTTGATATTTCATTTCATTAATTCAAATTAATGGATAATTATGAAATTATTTTATATATTGATTTGAATTAATGAAATAAAGTATTAAATGGTTTTCAATTTTTTTTAAAAATTTGAAAACTTGATCTATATATGCATTAAAAACTTTAAATTTAATGGTTGGATCGTTAAAATTTAATATAGAATATGAGTTATTAAACAGAATAAATTTATATAGAGTTATTCCTAGAATAAAAAAATCCTTCCTCTATATAAATATAAAAAGAAGATACTAACATTTTTTGTCTTCACGATATGTTAAACAATTACACTCCTTAATTATTAAGAATGAAAAAACAAAAGTATCCATGTAGGTATTTGTTAAGTGGATACATGCTTATTAATTTAATATTCACGGGTATCCGCAAACATTTTATTTTAAAAAATAAATAATTTTTCAAAAATATTTTAAGAATAATTTTTATTTATTCTAATAATTTCTTTAAAAGTAATAGTTTAAAAATCAAAACTTAAACTATTCAAATATTATACATAAATTTATGAATCAAGATTCTTTAATTTAAAAATTAAATTAAATTTCTAAAATGCTTTATTTTTATAATTTTTTTTTAAAAATTAAGATATAATTATGTAGTTAAATATTAGTGGGTACCTGTGGGTACAGATACTAAGAGACCCCTACTCGCCCTATTAACATACGGGTATAGAAAATACTTGTACTTGTTACTCGTGGGTATCCATTTATATTTTCTACCCATAGCAAATTTTATTCATGGATATCCATCGATACAGATTTTTAAAATCCCTAAAGGTGGGTACATCTATGATTGGCCCACGAAGCCCACGGCCTACGCAGTTAACGAGTATGTTTTTTGAAATTCATATAACTATAGGAAAAATTGAGTTCAACCCGTGAAACCCATCACATGCTTAACCTACAAACCCTACAAGTTGACCCATTAAAGAGAATTATGTTATAAAAGGAAGAAAAAGTAAAGAGAAGAAACAAGACAGTATGAGATGGAGAAAAGAATCTAACTGGTGTATTATCTTTGGGAGAGGAGTAACCTATTTATAAGTACATGTGATAACTGAACAATTACACAACAAAGAGAATAATACATAACAGAAATATAAATGGTAATGATTGATAATGAATATTGGCATCCACTAATTAAGCCACTAATTATTATTCATAACACTCCCCCTTGGATGT